TCTTACTGCAACATTGCATGAGGATGTACGAATTACCGAAAACTCAAAAAACTTTATAGTAAACAAAAGCATGCTTGTAGGATAGTATTTGGGGCAAACAGAACTGTTTATTGCAAACCGCTATTAAATCGCCTCAAGGCCTTAAACATTTATAAACTAAACATTTGCCAAACATTACTTTTCATGTTTAAAATGAAACATGGAATATCTCCACTTTTATTTCAATCTTATTTTAGCGAAATATCTCATAAGTATCCAACAAAGTTTTTAGACGTCTAACTTTGTTGTTCCGAGAATTAATTTAAAAATAAGTTTTTATCGAATTCAATATCGAGAACTTTTTTTATGGAAAAATTTTATTAAAAACTTTAATAAAGAATACTACTCTTTAGAAAAATTTAAAACAGTTTCTAAAAGAATTTTACTTCAATTAGATTTTGATTCAATAGACTTTAAATATTTTTTTTAAAAGGTAATTTTAAAATAGAAAAAACGCTTCCATTAGCACTAAATATATTTTGTTATATGTATCAAATATATTTGTATTAGTATACAAAACTTTCTTTATTTTTAAATTTTTAATATAATTGTCATTTTATTATTTGACAAAAGTTATGTACTCTTTAACGTTTTTTTGTATATTTTATTCATACTTGTTTATAAACCCGGACAATTTGGGGCTCGGTGATAAGACAGTTATTGTCTTCTACTTGCTCCGGCCAATTTTTATAAATGTAATATGTTTTTATTGTAAATATATGAAACGACAAAAAAAAAAAAAAAAAAAAAAAAAAGATGAAATGTTAAACCAAATAATATACAAAATAAAACAACAACAACAACAACAACAACAACAACAACAACAACAAAAATAGCAATTAAAAATAAATTAAGATATTTTCAATTAAAAATATAAATTTTTTAATATAAGTTTTTGTTTGAATGAAGCAAAAGTCAGTTGGGTGGAAAAATCAAAATTTGGTAAGACTATTTTGTTCCAGCGATAAGGACCTCGGTAAGAAAAAAAAAACAGTCTTTGCTTTTACGAAAAATAGGGGCAATAAGATTGTTATTAATTCGAAGATTATATTTGTTTTTAGGTTTCATGCAATAAAGATTTTGTAATACATTTGCCGACAAATTTTCTCTACATTTAAACATGAAACATAAAATATTAAAGACATTTAGTTGATATACATTTAAAATATTCATTTCTTTAAAAAATTTTTCGTATTAAAAAAACGATTTTTAAAATTTATTGCTCGAGTTTCGTGTTTCTGATGAAGATAAAGAGATTTTAGCTTTGTTCTACGAGTGCTTTCCCATATAATATTCGCGTAGTTTATATGACAATGTATAAATGAATAATATATTTGTTAAACTGGTTTTTACCTAATATATTTTTTGCTTTATAGAGAATTCCGATGCATTTAGAAATTTTATTAGAGGTATTATCAATATGATTTCTCCAAGATAGATTTTCATCAATATATACTCCAAGAAACTTAGTCACTTTTTCTCTTTTATTATTATATTATCAATTAAAAAGTCTGCCATGATGTGGGGCAAATTGATAACAAGAGACGGTGGAGCTGGTTGAGTTGGGGCAGTGGCAGATGAAAAAGTAGATATGCTAGTGTTTGGCGGCAATTTGTTATTTTTGTTAGATGTAGCGGCAGGAATGCGTCCTACAACTTTGAAAAAAGCAGAATAATGAACATAGTGTATAATGTTCTTAACCGTTTGACCGACGACGGAAGCATCGGTACTAGCTGCAATGGGAGTTCCGGTGATTATAGGTCTCTTAGTTTTTTATTGTTGATGCCTGGCGCTTACGTTCACGACGTGAATGATGGCATTGTTTGTGGCTCATCCAGTTTTGGCTAGTTGCGATGCAAATGATTTTAGGGTTGTTTGAGAAACGGATGGGTAAACTGCCGATGGTTGGCAGTTGGTTAGTTGAATATGCGGGTTGATGTTGGTTTTTTTGAAGGCTGTTTTGAAATTTGAAAAAAATTTCTGTAAAATATATTTTTTTTTTAAATAATGATTTAAAGTTAACAAAGACTTTGTACTTTTTTTTCAATTTTTGGTTGATTAAGTTAACTCAATTTAAAAGATGTCTTTTGACATCATTTTTATAGGTGGTTAGACCTTTCGTAGATTATTCCCACCACCTGAATTATTCCATCCCCCTAAGAAAAACTCAAATAGAGATTGCACTTTCGAGTTATAACTGTTAGAAGTGTACCTAAAACGTCCGTACTATCTTTGTAAACATAAACAAGGAGAAAAAAACGTTTAGAGAACAAGAATTTTAGAAATAAAGTTTACATAAAAGATATATAAGAAAGACGATATAAGAAAGTGTCGTAGTGAAAGAAAATAAACAGCTATAAACTAATTATTTATTTATTTACATGAAATTATTTTACAAATACTTTTATTTTATAACAGTATATGTAAAAGTAAAATTCAGACAGATATAAATTATATCTCTCTGAATTAATACCTCCCCTTTATAAATCGTTCAATATAAGACGGTCTTATATTGTCTCTCTAAGACTCTTTATTTATTTTTTTCTTTTTTTTTTTTCTTTGCCGTTTGATAAAATTTACAATAAGAAAGATCGTACATAAGTTATTAGTCCAGCTTATCTTAATTTTTTAAGCCTGATTTAAAAATGTTGTAATGTTATATTGGTATTTAATTTTTTTCCAAACATACGCATGTTAATTTTCTGGTATGTATATTTGTTTTTAAGTTCTATGTTTGTTAATTCATATGTTCTACAAAAACTAGTATTGATTTTTTTATATTTTCATTTAAAAAATTATTTGTTTTGTGCAAATTGAAAAGTATATCTTTATTAAATTATTTTTTTTCTTCTATTTTTTTAGTTCGACCACAAGATTCTGCTCTACTTCATTTTTTATGTTTAATTTGACTACTGTTGAAATATGGTTTTAATTTAGTAAATTTTTATAAATTGAAATTTACTTTATTAATCATTAGCCAACAGTTTAGGTAATAAAATTAAACTCATCGCCATTAAGGTATAACTTTGTTCTTAGGTCACACCATTAAACAGGTTCATATAATAATGATAAGTTGGACTAACAACTATACTACTTAAAGTAAGAATAACACTTTTATTCTATGTTCCTATAAACAAAAGTCCTACAAATTAAATATCAAAAACTTTAGATTTTATTAAGTTTCTAATTACAGTAAAATATAATAACAATTTATATCATTCAATACCAGTTTCAAAGTTGATTCAGTTTTAAAAATGATTTATAAATATATTTAAAAGTACATCTGAACTAAATGGTTCAGACATTATACTTGTAAATCATTTTTACATAGTTTTCTAAATTATTGATATATAGTTGCATAATTCCTATTACTATCACTCCAAGCCATTATCACACTTTAAACGATTTACTAATTAGTAAATCGTCGAAATCGTCGAAAATTAGTAAATCGTCCTCCCCTTAACTAATGGGAGATAATAATTTTGAATTTTAAAGATGTATTTGTAAAGTATTTTCAATTAAACATATAACTAAATGTTTATAGTTGTTCACTATATGATTACATCATTCAATACCATAACCACACGATCTTTTATTAAATGTTTAGCTAGAAAAAAGGAAATAATTCGGAGGCAAGTTTTGTAATTTACTTGGTGGGAGGGTATAATTCATACAGATATTTGTATTATTATTTTTAAATAATTGTATAACTAATTTAATCAGTTAGTTTAAACAGAAATTGTACAACTATTAATTTAATTATTAAATATTTTATAGTTGTAGAACTTCAATCATGATACTGTAATAAAGATCAGACCGTCTTAAATTGAGCGATTTTTTAAAGGAGCGGTATTAATTCAGAGAGATATAATTTATATATGTCTGGATTTTACTTTTACATATACTGTTATATAATAAAAGTATTTGTAAAATAATTTCATGTAAATAAATAAATAATTAGTTTAAAGTTGTTTTTTTTTCTTTCACTTCGACACTTTCTTATATCGGCTTTCTTATATAACTTTTATGTAAACTTTATTTCTAAATTCTTGTTCTCTAAACGTTTTTTTCTCCTTGTTTATGTTTACAAAAGTAGTACGGACGTTTTTTGTTTTTGTAAGAATGAGAATAAATTACAAATTATTAAAGAGAGAAAAGTTAGCAGGCGGTATCAAACTTATATTGGTTTAAACAAATATAGGTTTTTAATTTTGTAGTTTTGCTTGCCCTGCGCATTCAGATTTTTACAGAAACATACATAAATTAAAAAAAAATAATCTCAAGTCAGCTATTCTTTCTATTAGTCTAAAAAGTTATTTTTCTTTGCATTTTTACGGCATACGACCTTATAAAATATTTTACATTATTCTCTAAAAACCTTAAAATATTTTTTTGAATGATACATAATAGTTCGCATCTGTGGGTTGAAAAATAAGGTAAAAGTAAAAAACTATTGCTTTTTGTTAAAAAAAATTTTTCTAAAAATGATAACTTTAAATAGTTGCGGGAAAGGGTCGGATATATAAAAAAATACTTCCAGAATATGAAAACAAGGCCAATTTGCAACAATGTTACATATTCAGAAGTTTTTACATTTTAACATCCAATAATTGTGCAATACCTCAAATTCTAAAAATGTTACCTTGGACTGTCCAAGTATTAAATACAACTCTTAGAGTAGAATGTACAAAAACTTATTTTGTTCCATTGCGTTATCAACTTGTAAAATAACTCATCCGTAAGAGAAAAAAGTTTGAATCCCGAAAGTCAAGCTAAAGAAAATTGCTCAAAAAGAAGAAAATGAATTACTTGCTTTCTTAGAAGATGATGAAAGCTTTATGAATGCAGTGTAATGAGTAGAAAAATATTTGAGAATAAGAATCAAACAATATAGAAGTAGATTTTTCAAACAAGGCTTTAGGTTTTTCTAGGAGGTACAAATAAGAAAAAACAAAAAAAAA